GATTACAATAGTTAATATAGGGTAGGACTAAGGTATTGTATAATGATAAAAGTATATGTGGGGGAAAATCATTTTTTAACTTATTCATGACACCAATATTTCTAGAAATAATATTAAAAATTTTGTTACGCTGAGGTTGCCAGGAAAGCTTGGAATCTAATGTTACACCGAGAAATTTTGTTTCACTGACCTGGTTAATAATATTATTATCTATTTTTAAAACATGATTATGGTCTTGTTTTGTTTTGTGATTAAAAAGAATAAAATCGGTTTTATTAATGTTCAATGATAATTTATTTAATTTAAACCAGTTGGATACTTTGCTTAATTCAGTGTTAGTAATTTTAAAAAGTTCTGGTAAGTTTTTGTTTGAATAGAAAAGATTCGTGTCGTCAACAAACAGAACAAAACCTAATAATGATGAACAATTTGGGAGATCATTAATATAAATTAAAAATAATAAAGGACCAAGTATTGACCCCTGTGGAACACCACAATTGATTTTAGAAAGAGGAGAATTATAGTCAACTGAAACAAATTGTTGTCGATTGCCAAGGTAGCTTCTAAATAGATTGAGAGCAAGGCCTCTGACACCATAACGTTCAAGTTTGTTTAGTAAAATGCTATGATCAATAGTGTCAAAGGCCTTGCTCAGATCAAGAAAAATACCAGCTGTGAAATAATTATTACCAATAGCTTTGGTATTTGGTCATATATATCAATAATAGCAAGATAAGTTGAAAAGAATTTTCTAAAACCATATTGGTGATTATGAATAATATTGTGCTTATCTAAAAACCCAAGCAATCTGTTGTAAATTAGGCGCTCAAGGATTTTGGAGAAACAAGGTAATAAAGAAATAGGTCTGTAATTAGTAAACAAATGAGGATCACCTTTTTTATAAATAGGAACTACCTTAAAAATATGAAGAGTTTTGAGAGACCTTCTAGGGGGCCTAGGCTTATCGCTTAGGCAAATCGCCACATAAAGCGCTGACTAATGGATCGTCGTTGATTTTGAGGTACACTTCAGACTGTCACTCGGTTTTGTTGCAATTTCTGTATGAAATAATTAAACTTATTGGACAAACTTAAATTAATGTTAATGATCATCACCCTATAATGGAAGGCAATCGCCGCCAAAAATACAGTTACAAACGAACAACCTACTCACAGAAACGAGCAATGTAGTTGCAGAAATGGATGCCCACAGCACTCTCAGAAAAGGACAACGGAATTGTCCATTTCAAGATAGGTCAGCAAAATCTCGCATCTTAAGGCTGAATGTAATTTTCTTACTTATCGAAAAGCCTTGGTAAATATTCCTTTAACAAACATCAGAAAATTGGATTTGAAATTCAGTGAAAGAAATGGATGGAAAACTAGACTAGACATTCATACAAATAGACTGGGTGCAGTAGGAAATTAGCGGGAAAAAAGTAAAGGAAAATTTATTTTTGGTTTTTCTGAATCAGTATATCATATAGTGTCTCAGAAAAAAAATCCCCATTCTTAGAGCTTGGGCAACTTTTTTTATAGCACTTTGAAATTTGACATAAAATATCCTATTTTGGACTAATTAAGATGGGGGTAGGGGAAATAAATGTATGTTTTTAGTCACTTATACATATGCTATGTATATCAAATGTAACTTGAACTTGGCTAAATAGTTACTCTTCAC